ATATATATATATATACGTATATATAATACCAAAATAGAGATTATAGATATTTGCAAATGTGAATGGACGTATGTAGGAACAGTTCCTTCACAGATTGTGCTTTGATTATTTTGTATGAATCCAAGTAACATAGTGCCCACAATTAAATATTTTATGTGATTAAATATCTATTATGATGAATTTTTAGTTGTCATTTGGCACTTGAGCTTCTACATCATGTTGGAGTTTTGGAGGTCAGTTTTGTGCTTTCCATTTAAATCTTCCATCACAATGGAGCCTTTACAATCAATAAAACTAGTCAATGCCTTTTGAGTGTTAGGCGAAACACAGCCACATGTTTTCAAAACCACAAGAAGATGAGCCTTTGATATCCACCGTGCTAAAACACAGAGCACTTTAGGGAAATGTGAATGTCACACTTACGCACTTAAAAGACAAGATGATTTCATCACACAGGGAGAATTAAGAGGAAGCCAGGGTGGGCGCGCTTGGTGCCAATCATTGGCGTAAATTTTTCTAGATCATGCACAGTTTGTGGTGTAAACGTGACGCGAACATGTAGGCAGCGGTGCTTTGCGAGAACACAAAACATGGCAATATGTGATCTCACTCAAGTCTTACAGATGTTTGATTAAAATTCAAACAGGTCCAGTCTGTAAATTTCCTTCCTTAACTTGCACTGTTTCAAGAGCCTATATGATGTATAAGCAAATGTGCCTTTTATTAGCAGGAATGATTCAATGCATTCATTGATTATAGGGAGTATTAATTGTGATTTTAGTCTTAAAGTTCAGTCACATTAGCAGAATTTCTGCAAAATTTTGCGGACAAAGTAGGTCCATTGTCAATAGTAGTTACTCAGAGGTCACTTCCAAACCAGATAACTTTATATTGGTAAACACAGCCAATTTTCTTGTTAAAAGTTCAACAAACAGTAACAAAATCGAAATAAAAAAATGATTTTGATCAGATAGAACCAGTCAGGGTTTTGATTATGCATCGTCTGCAGTCATCATATCCACCTTTTTCTTGTCGTAAAAATGGGCGCGGCCATTTGTAAATTCTATGGGTCTGGCTTCCGGTCTCATCTGCCTCCAGATGAAGTTTTGCTGCTTGATATTGAAAGTTGGTGTGTCTTATCATATTATTTTAATGTATTATCTTAATTATGAAGACACTGGTTTGTAGTGCAAACAGTTTTACCATTTACTGCACGTTGCTATTCTTCTCGTTATTTACCTATAGCGGCTAATGAACCGGAAGTCTCACCCATAGGCTTACTTCCGCGTTGAAGAAAAAGGTGGATAGCATGTGTTTAGTGTCCAGTTTCCTTGCCATGTGGCGTTTTATATCTTTCTTTAACTGGCTGTTGGACCATTGAGATTCATGAGTGTCCTTTTATATTCATCCAGCTCATCTCATCATCTTTTCCTAACACTTTTCAAAATCCCAAACTAAGTTACCCACACTATACTTCCACAATCTAGTAAGCACCCCCTGACTCTGGTAGAGTCACACTCAATCTAATACCTCATACTCGCCTAGTTCTCTGCTCCCAGTGGACACAAAGGGACACATGTGACTTTGCACTAATGACCACAAGAGCCTCTCCTTAAAGAGACACCCAATAATTGCTTCAGGTAGGTGACCCTCAACTAGGGTCAAGGGATGCCTAGTTTTAATGACAACTTTCGTACTCCCAACCTTGCTCTCTCTGCCCTGTAGACCAATTTTAGTTTTTGGCTGAGAGACAACTAGAGCGAATAATAGAGACTCCTCAGCAAAGTCTGGAGAATCACCTTTAGTAATGGGCCCGAGGGGACACCTTTGAAGTTAAAGAACACCCAGACCACAATATACTGGCCTATCCTATTGTCGCATTGGGAATCAATGGAGATTATTTAATTCAACCAGCAATTAATTTGTTAAGGCCAGTCTGAGAGCTAAGTGCAACTTAACTCCATTGCAGAATGAGGGCGTTCCTTGACTGCCCGAAGGCTGGTTGTAAGTAGGTAGGTCTGCAGTAAGATTAGATGATTTTAATGTGCGACTACCTTTCACATTCAGGATGATTTTATGGATGTTGAAATTCTATTGCTCATGTCTACCTTTCTGATTTGTAATGTTTGTATTTTAATAGTCATTATGTTTAGAATAAACTGCTGCTTTTTAAAAGGTTGCATAAATTTGAAGACAAAATAGA